AAGAGTGCACATAAAATGTACGCATAGCTTGTCGAACTTTCACACAGTGAGTACATTTAGCCAGCAGTCAGATCAAGAAATAACAGCAGCAGCAACTCTGAAGCCCCTTTACACTCTTTGTTACTACCTCTCTTCCCTCAAGAGTAACCACTATCTTGACTTCTAATAGCATAGACTAGATTTTCCTGTTTTTATGCTTTATATAACTAGAGTCCATCATATTTAGTTGTGTCTGGCTTCTCTCACTTAACATATTTATGACATTCATCCACATTGTTGGTTGTAGTCGTTGATAGTTTATGATAGTTGCTGTATAGTATTCCACTTTAGGAATATTCCACAATTTATTCATTTTGCTGTTGATGGACAGATAATTTAGTTACTTTCGGTTTGGGACTACTTAGAATATTGCTATTCTAAACATTCCACTAAATATATACTCATTTCTGTTTGATGTATGCTTAGAAGTGGAAGTTTCAAGTCCTAGAGTATGCATGCATTTAGTTTTAGTAAGTACTGTCAGGTTTTTGAGAGTTGTACTGATTTTAATTATACTATTTAATATTCTGTGGTTTAATCCCTGGTAGAACAAGTTTCTTGAGAAAAAGAGACATTATTCTTCCGTTAGAAGGTGAAATTTTCTTGGTTATTTTGGTATGCTTGGTCTTCAAAACTTTTGTTAAATTGGCATTGGATTAAATTTGTGTTAATTGGGAAAAAATGATACCCTTGTTTGTTTATACATGAATTCCATTTGGAACTAGCCCAAAATCCTTTGTCAGGATCCTGATTGTTTTTTTTTTTTTTGTAGAGGGGAGGTGTGGTGTCAAGAAAACATAGTTTCCATTACTATGAGAATAAAAAATATGGATAAAATGAGCCGTACCATGAACCAGTTTACAACTAGAAGCACTGATAAATGTATATAGATAGCTATAATATAAGGCAGAAAATAATATAGGGTAGAAATTAATAAGTATTGTATTAATAGCATATAATAAGACCCAAAAGACAGTGGTTATTTACAGAAGAGCTTAGAGAACCCTGTGAGATACAGCCTTTAGAATGAATAGAGTTTTTAATAGGGTATGGTAGATTGTTGTTGGATGGAGTTTAGTTAGGAAAGGATAGGGAAGTATTTCTGAGTGAAGTGACCTGAGAAACAAAACATTGAAGTCAGAAATACTGATGGCGGCCAGTATGTAATAACCAGTAATCCAGGGATGGGACTAGATCATCAAGTGCCTGGTAATAATGTTATGTAGTGGGCAGTAAGGCTTGTATGAAAGGGTAGAGATCAGTGACAAGGACCACATATGATATGTAGAGTTTGAAATGTATCTTGTAGGCATTAGGGAGGCATAGACTGTTTTGAGCTTGAGAGTGATATGACAAAGTTGGGAAGATAATTCTAGTAGAGGGAGTAAAGGATACAGGCAAATGGGAAACCAGGTGAAGTAATGAGGGTCTGTACTATTTTGGTATACGTGGAGAAAAATAAGGAAACGAGATACTTCAAAGGTAAAATTTACAGGATTTGATTATAAATCAGAAGTATGGTACAGTGGAATGAGGATAGCCTTTAGAATCAGACAACTTGTGTTTGAATCATAACCTTTATTTACTAGTTAAATGATCTAAATAAAGCAAGTCACTTAAGAGAAAACTTTCCTCTCTGTGAGTATCTTCAAGCATTAGAAGTATAAAAATGAATGATCCAGAGTCTGGACTGGCAGGTTTGGGCCAAGTTGTGTATAGTTTGATCTGAAATGTTTGGAAGATTTAGTTTTATTCTGAAAGCAACTAAAAGTCAACAAAGGAAGAATTGGGAGTAGTGTTGGAATATGGGAGATTTCTGAGATAGAATTGGTAGCACTGGGTGAACAATTTGCTGTACTGGGAAAGAGGGGGCCTTCTCTTTAGAATATGACTAGGCGAATGGACTGATAGAGCCATTATTATCTCACAAGGTTTTTCTTAATATGTGTGCTAAATCTTGCTCATGCCTCAGAGCTTAGTTTATATGTCACTTCATGAAGAATGCCTCTCCTGTTTTCCCAGATTGTCAGAACTCTATATACACTTACCATATCCTGTGTTTCTCTCTCATAACACTGAATTATACATTGCAAATGCATAATTTACTGTGGTTTTTTATTATTTGTACCCATTTTGCTTATTACATGAGGACAAGAGATTATGTCTAATTTCTTTAACTGTGTTTTGTTGTTTTTTTTTTTAAAGATTTTATTTATTTATTTGACAGAGAGACAGCGAGAGAGGAAACACAAGCAGGGGGAGTGGGAGAGGGAGAAGCAGGCTTCCCGCCGAGCAGGGAGCCCGATGCGGGGCTCAATCCCAGGACCCTGAGATCATGACCTGAGCCGAAGGCAGTCGCTTAACCAACTGAGCCACCCAGGCGCCCCTTTAACTGTGTTTTTATCCACTTCATAGGCACTCAAAATCTATTACACTTTTTTAATTGAGATATAATTGATGTATAACACTGTATTAGTTTCAGCTAGTAGACATTTTTTGAATGAATGAATAAGAATTTGAAGGTTAACAAGTATCAACCCGCATAGTGGTTAGGCTAAATAAAAATGAGAGGGAGAAAATAAAGAATGGCAACAATTTTTTCAGTCTGTAACTAGAAGAACAGCTAGATGGGGCACATTTAAGTTGGGAGTGAGTTTTTTGGGAAATAATTGAATTTGATTTTAGATGCTAATGATAACATCAAGTGTATGTGTACCATTGGTAATTGAGAGTAGCAGACTTAAAACTCAAGTTAAAGACTTAAAGATGTAGAGTTAGGGATCCTAAGTATAGAGGTGCTATGGAAATGGATGGAATTGCACGGATAATTAATTTAGGTTAAGGACTAGTGCAAGAAACTTGAGTGACCAAGAATGAGAGCTAGGAAGGTGAATTAACAGAAGGCCTAGTTGCTGTCAGAGGTAGAATGTAGGTAGGTACAGCATTATGGAAGTGAGAGGAGGTGAGGAACGATTAGTAGAGTGAAATGCTACAGAAATAAAGTAGGATTAGGGGCCACAGGATTTAGAATACACAGGAAAGATGATGACTTCTGTAAGAAAAATGTCAGTAGGTGGAAGGTATTGTATATCAGCAGCTGAGCTAATGGTTTTCAGGTCTTTCAGCAGTTGAAGGAAAATAAGGAGCCAGTACTCATGGGTTAATGGAGTTGAGGGGATTATGTGGGGAATACTATATGAAAGCAGTATTTAAACATTTTAGCCTAACTATAGAATGGATGAGAATAGTCTTTGATCAGTTGTGAAATTTATAAATGTACAAAACTTAAAAGAGTTTCAACAAGAAGCTTTACCCATAAATTTAAGAGATAACCATGGTGCAAAGGAGAAGGGAAGTGCTGAGGGAACGCAACAAAAAAGTGATAGAAAAGGTAGTCTGTGAAATTAAGGTTTGACCTAGGTTTAGAAAGAGGTGAAGGAAATAGGCTATTGGAGAGGAGATGAAGCACATACCAGATGTAGTAATAATAATACAGACATGTATATATGTGTTGTGTATATATAGAGTGAGATTTGGAAGAGATGAAGCACATACCAGGTATAGTAATAATAATATAGAGACATGTATATATGTGTTGTGTATATATAGAGTGAGATTTGGAAGATGGACCATTTTAAGAATAATGAAAATGTTAGAGGGGCAGATGAATGTAGACCAATAAAGGCATATCTTACTAGATTTCATTTTTTATTCTTAGATTATTATTAGACTGAGCCCTCTGTTGGAGAGGGACACAGATATAAATAAAGGCACTAGATCTGGTATTAGGGTGCTAATGGTAAATTTGCAAAGATAATACCTAACATTTCTGGTTCTTAAGGTTTGTCTTGCTTATCCTATATCATTCTAGATTTGGTATATTTCCCTGTTTTTATGTGTTCCTAATCTTCTAAGGCAAGGTTTCTCAAATTGGGATATGTGCATTGCCTGAAATGTATGTTAAAAATACAGATTCATGTACCCCCACTTTATGCACTGAATCACAGTCTTTGAAAGTAGAGATCAGGTATCCATTTTTTTTACAGATTTTCCCAGCTGATTCTATTATTGAATAGATTGAGACCTTGGTCCTCTAAGGTCTTAAAACTTGGTTAATTAAAAAAATATGTATATGCTGAGCATTCATTTTTCTACCATCAACCTGTAGGGCACTGGGTGGGTTTCTTAATCTTTGGGAATTGGTTTCTTCATATATGATGAAAGGAAATGGGTTAAAAGATTGCAGTTCTTATTCCACTGAGAAATGCTCCGATCATATACAAATGAGTTAAGAATTTACAGTGATTATTTGGGTGCATGCTTCAAGCTCAGAATTTGGTTTTTGGTGAGTTTAGTTTCGATAGAAATGTTAAATATTTTATTTAAGAAATAGTCATTGTTACCATGTATTGAGCTCCTGTTATGTGCCAGGAAGCATTGTCCTACGTACTGTGAAAACATTTTCTCTAAAACTCAAAATGACCTGACACCTGAGACTCAGAGACAAAAGACCTGCCTGAGGCTGCTAATCTAGGAGGTAGTGGACAGGTGCCTGTAAAATGTACCTAACATAGCAGGTGCTTAGCATAGAGAATTTAATTAAAAGCTAAATTGTTATAGGTATCTGAAGGAATTAGAGGCATATAGTCAAACAGTTTTCATACATTTTCAGCCCTTTTGGAAGAAGGGAAGAGTAAAGAAATGGCAAGCTGTAAGCCCTGTGGATGAATATGGGAAACGTGGCTCTGCCAGCTGAAAGCACTGAGGCAACAGGGCCTGTCTGACCACCCTTGCATGCATCCTGGCAACAGCATTAGGGACACTTGTCTGTTCATATGTTTTTGGATATTCATAAATATTAACAAAATGAATTTCCTTTTAATGAATTTTGGGGGAAAATTTCTTTTGAGTTTATCCAGTTGTTATGTGAAAAGAATTGAGTGAGGTGTTTTATATTTTAGGTTAAAAATCTGTAAGAACCTGATTTTAGAATTCACCAGCTCCTCAGAAGTTTGGCGAAATATGGTATGTTTCTGTTTTTATTTTTTGGAATTCAAAATTGCATGTGTATCTTAATGTCATAGTTAGAATATAATGACAAACATTTTCAGCAAATTTGGGTGCTTGCCATTTTTAAAGCAATGTGCAAGGTACTAAATCACTGTGCTGCCAGGTAGACTATGAGGGACATAAGTGGGATTCTGAAAGAAATCAGAAGAGGTTAATGTGTTATGAGAAGTGAAATCTTATGCATGAGAAGATTGGATGGGGCAGGTTTGGCTGTTAGACTATATGAGTTTAATAATAGCTTCCATTTTTTGAGCTCTTACTATGTGCCAGGCACTATTCTGAGCAATTTTATATGTTGGTTTGTTCATCCTCAGGACAGCCCTCTGAAAAAGACACTATTGTACTCTTAGTTCTCCCTATGAATGAAATGAGGCTCAGAATGGTTAAGGAACTTGCCCAAGAGTTGCCATCTAGTAAGTGACCAAACAGGGACTTGAATCCAGATTGGCTCTGGAGCTTGTTTGTGCTCTGTTGAGCACTGGACCTCATAAAAAAGGAGACTAGTAGAGAGAACTTGACTCAGTAATTTTCAAAATACATGTAGCTCTTCAATGAATTAATTTACTTCCGTTGATTAGTTAAGAGGTATTTTAACTTAAGACGTTGACAGATTAGAAAGTTAGACTTCTTTGGATCTTCTAAATCTATATACACATTTAGTATTATGAGAGAGAACCCAAGAGGGAACATGGTTCATTTCAGGGACGCCATTGCCTCTTCCTCACGTGGCCTCAGGAATGTCCTAGGCTCTTATTAGGAGACATGTAGCTATGATAGGGAAATTGTATTATTTCTTCCAGGGATTATAAGTCCCATTTATTGAAGTCACCTAAAGTTATTTATATATATTAAGGCCAACCCTCACCTTTATTTGAATTTGAAGCCCAAGTTTATAGACTGCTGTAGAGGTATGGGCCTAAGCACTGATATTTCAAGTCTTCTCTTCGTATTCTCAGATACCTTACTATTTTATATTGAGTTTTGGGTCCATGCTGGTAACCACCTTCTGTAGTTGTCTCTTGTCACTTTGAAGTGACTATCAAAGGGTATTTTATTTTATTTTATTTAGTTAACTGTCAAGGGTATTTTTTTCTCCCTCTTAATTTTCTCATTTTTCCTTAGTTCACTTTTCAGATTTGGCCTGGATATACAGTTTGGTAGGGAAATAATTAAGGGGAAAACTAGCTGCACAAAATGAGTTCTCAATACTGGGATATTTCAGATGTAGATCTTTGCCAGAATTATGTAGGATTAGGATGTCTGATAAATTTGAACCATGACAATCAAGAAAGTTCAGCTAAGGCCACGTAAGGGAATCAAAAGATCCTAGGTTGAGGGAGGAGGACATATTTTTATATTTTGCCAATCTCTTCATGAAATTGAGTATTAGTGGATTTATGGCTGAGAAAGAATAGAAAGGATTTTCATGAAGTACCCAAGATGTTTGGGCTAATGTTAGATTACCTTACTTAAATATAGAATAAGTAGGACTAGACTTTGTGTGTGTGTGTGTGTGTGTGTGTGTGTATGTATATAATTATTTATTAAGCATTTGACTACCTGGAAAACCCTATGACTGTTAGTCTTATTTAAACAATTGCCATATTCTAAATCTTTGCTCCATTACATATACATAACTTATGAAACTCTCCTATAGTAAAACTAAGACCAAAAAATTCTAACCCTGGATAGGAAATCGGTAGGTTTGAGTTTTAATCTTAGCTTCTGCACTAATTCTAAAATCTTGGGCAAGTCAATTAATCACTCTAAGTCTGCTTAGTTTGTTTTTTGTTTGTTTTCTTAAATTCTTACTGTAGTATCTGCCCTGATGAGGTAGAGCCAAAGTTGTCATGAGACTCAAGCAAGATACTGTTGACCAGAGTGCACTGTAAACTGTAACACTCCATAAAAGTACAAGAGATTATCACCACATTTTCTCAAGAGATCATTTAAGGGGAAAAATAATGCTGGAAAATAGTCCTTAAAAGCATTTCTATAATAATTACTCTTCTGATGAATGTTGCATTGACACCTAATTTGAAGCTTTGAAGATTATTTTTTGAACGATGGATTGGGTTTATATATTAAAGTGTTCTAACTAAAGATTTGTTTAATTTGTTAGAGTTATTAAACCTACGCTCAGATCAAGTTAGCAGCTAGACTGGTGTGACAACCTGTTTTTAATCAGTGACTCAAAGCTGTGATCACCCTGATGTCACCGAATGGCCACAGCTTGTAAAAGGTAATTTTGAATGTTATTTTACAGCCTTTAAAAGGCTGTTATTGTAAAGTAAAATACGTGCTGTAAAAAATGAAGAAAATGTATAGTTGGCAGGAATAATGTGAATAGTTTACCTAAGTGTTAATGCGCTTCTCCATTAAATATCCTTCCTAAAATATTTTATGCTTTTCCCCCCCAGTTCTGTGTGTATAAGTAAACAGGAAGGTATTTCTCAAAAATTTCAAGTTTTTAAATATGTTATTATGAACATTATAAAAACTATGAAAAAATTCTCAATGTGCATTTTATGTGGTGAGAGTTCTAACTAAAATGCTTCTCTAGAAATTTTTACAACTTTAATAAGGTGTGATTTTCTTTCCTAAAGAGTTGCAGTGGAGGTAAAAGGAGTGACTTGCAGGCTGGACAAGCTGCACCCATTATTATTGGAAATGAGCCTCCATTTGAATGTTCTGGCTCATGCTGCAGTATTTAGATTAGGAGGCATTTTGTGATCACTTTTCTGTGATCCAGATCAAGACCCTAAAATAGAGACTTCCAATACTTATTTTTTATTTTCTAATATTACTTACTATTTGTTTTAAAATTTTTTTTCTGGTTTGTTATTGTGACAAATTTTAGGTTAACCTGAGTCAGTACTTTTTTTTTTTTTTCCCTCTTTGGTTATATCCTGAATTTGGTAAAGTTATGAACATGTACTAGATCCTTACTTCCAAAACTCGACAGTGATGAATAAAGAGACTCTTTAGTGGCCAAAGTAAAGCTTTGAAACAATTGGTAGATGTTAGATAATTTCATAGTTTTGGAAATGAATGCTAACTTTAGGATATTTTTTGGTAAGTTATTTACAGTATTACAGCAATATAAGCAGAATGACTAGAAATTTATTCAGACATGTACTATTACTTATAACTGCCAGAAAAGTGTTTCTGTTAGTTTTTTGTATATTCACTTTTCTTTTAATTAAAAACAATTTCCATTTTGAGTAGAAAACAGCTTGGGCTAATAACCATGTTTATGAGACCCAGGATAGACTTGTTTTAGGGTAATACTCTTTCATTCCTTCCTTATTCTTTTGTCCTTCTGTTAGACTGAATTGGTTTAATTACTTGGTTTGACAAATAAATGTTTTTTTGTAGCTCACTTGAATATATGTTAATATTAAATGGTAATCCACTATATTTATAATAATTTGGTGACAATTTGATGCTAATGTTTACATATTCTCTTGTTTAGGGAACAGAAATTGGAAAACAGTGTAGTTACCTTTTGATGATGTATTTAACTTCTATCCCATTTCTCAAAACTTTGTAGCAGTTATATATTGTGCTTCTAAGACTCGGATTTGTTTTCCCTCTGCTTGTGTCTTACCTTTTTGCAGTAGTATTTTAATTTTCCTGTCATTGTGTCCTCATTTTTTTTCCTCTCTCTTTCTCTATCCCTGTTAATTTTGAAAGTTTTGCCGCCTGCGTGTTTGAAAGCTTCTAATCTGCCTCTCTTCCCTTAGTGCCAGCAGGTTTATTTTTTGTTTTGCAAGCCTGCTCTGCCTCCTTACAGTATGACATCTGATGCTGGAGGGTCGCACTTTCAAAAATGAGTCAGCTGGTACATGGGGTTATCATCAGTTTTTAGCTCTTCTGTCTGAGACATACAAACAAGTTTGGAAGCAATCTTGGGGTACTTACCCACAAGGCTGGTGGAGACCAGGTGTGTCACAAAGGTGATTTGCTTGCTCCCTGGGGGAGAGGGTGGAGTGAAATTTTTGCATTTGTGTCAGTGCCAAGTCACTGTCACCTCCAGCATGCCCCAATTTTTAGTTCTAATATAACTTTGTGCAAAATTGAAAATGTAAATATACTGCAAAGAGGATCTAAAATATTTGAGCTGCTGGAGTCTCTCTCTCTCTTTTTTTTTTTTTTTTTTGCATTCTTGTCCTTGGACTCTAAATGAACTGCAGTGAGGGGTAATTTTGAAAATCTAATAAAGAAGTAAGATTTTTAAAAGCTAAGAAATGTGGAGAACAGTTTGTTTCTTTTTTTTCTTTTTTTTTTGGCTGGTGGCTCTAATTTTAAGATTCTTTTGTTAAAGTTGTTCACAATTAGAAGTCTCAAGTCAGTGATAAATTTACAGATCAGGTCATTGTAATGTCATTTGGAAAATTTAGTTTTTGATCTCTAAAAAAATTTTTGAGAATTTGAGTGTTAGCAATCAAGATTATGTTGATTTAACTTAGTATACATTGACCAATGCTGTTTATAAAACTGAATAGGGTAACAGGAATTTATTTTTTTAACAGCATGGTAGGAATAGGCAAAATTCATTCGTACCCCAAAATGAAAGTAAGACTTTTTAATGTCTTAGAATTTTGAATATTTCTATTCAAGATAGTAATAGTATATTAAAAAATAATAGAAAACAACTGGCAACTATTTATAACTGAAATCAGTTCACAATTATCCATAGTAAAATTTTAATACCCCAGCTTGGTACACTTTTGATAGGTAATGCATTTTGCCAGTATATTTTCAGGGAAGATTAATTTCATTGTTGAACCAAGATAATTGTGATTAGAATGGTAAATCTGACTTAAAGTGTCTCAAAATTCACTAAGGCTATTAGATTAAAATTTGAATTATCTAGAGCAGAAGTTAGCAAACTTTTTCTCAACAGGCCGGATAATAAATACTTTAGGCTTTGTGGGGCATATATGTCTTGTCAGTTTCTCACCTCTGCTCTTGCAGTGTCAAAGCAGCCATGGACAATGTATGTAAATGAATGAATTGTGGCTGTATTCTAATACTACAGAAATAGGTGCCTGACCCAGGCCTTAGTTTGTTGTCCCAGGAAATAGTTTGCTGACCCCTGATCTAAATATAGTTTGGGACTGTGAATACCAGTGAATACTTTTGATATTTTGGATAACCAATAGTTGGCTGTAGAAAGTTTCATAGTTGTATGTTTTTATTATAAATATTTGACTTTGTGAATAATTATGATTTATTATACATTTTACTCCTTTGTATGTTGGTATCTAAATAGTGTTTACAGTTTCCTTTCCTTAAAAAAATGCACTGACTTTTTTATTAGTCCAGCTTTTATAATAAACGTGTTGAATGGCAATCTGATTTGATCACTTTTTTCTTCTGTTAAAATCTTTAGTTACTTTTAAAACTGTTAACGATTAAATCTTGTTTTCAAATTTGTCTACTAATATAACATGTCTGCCCATTTTTGGAATATGGAATGTTTTGCTTAACTTTCCTCAATTGCATTTTACAGATCGCCAGGAGAACCTCAGTCTGACGACATTGAAGCTAGCCGAATGTAAGTGTAACTTGGTTGCGGCTGTGGTGTCTTTTAAGTTACCCTAGATTGCTTTAAAGGTATTAAATTATTTGAAAATTATTTCTAGTTATGAGAGAGTAATACATTAAAAAATGGGAGAGAGGAGTGTGCCTACTATTTTTCCTACCAAATAAAAACCTCTGAACTTTGGTACCATGTCACTAGATTTCTACTTTTAGGTAGATAGTTGTATACTCCTGCATTATAATGTGTTTTTGGTTACCTGGCAGTTGTGTGGAAATAGAGAGGGGAAAGAGTTCAGGTTAACAATCATTTATTAAATACTCACTATTCAGCTGGTGGTGTGTTGTGGATACAGAGATGCGTAATAATTAGTTCCTAACCCACAGAATTTTATAGTCTATTCAGTGTGAAAGAGAAACAAATCTTTAGTCACTGTGGTAGAAGGATACCCAGGATGCAGCAGGAACATAAAGGAGTACTGGGTTACCTGGGTATACAGTAGGAACCTAATCCATGTGGCAGGGAAGTAGGGTGGCCAGGGTAGGCCAAATTAAATCTTAAAGTGTAACTTGGAGTTAGTGGAAGGCATCAGCAGGGTTGTTCTAGGCAGAAGTATGGGTGAAGTTATAAAGCGGCATAGTGAGCATAGGGAACAGTAGGCAGTTGAGGATTTTTAGATCATAAACTAACTGAAAGGCAGGAAAATGAAGGAGGTAAGACTTGAGAGAAAGGGCTAGAGCCTTGCATGGTATGTGAAAGACCTAGGCCTGTCTCTTTGGTATTTGGGAGTCAATAAAGAATTTGCTGAGGAAGGAGTAGTAACCTTGTTAGACATAAAATTTTAATAGTTTTGGCAGGAGAGAAACAGAATTGAAGAGAAGTGTGTGGTGGTAGGGTGACCAGGGCTTCAGCAGTTCAGTCAATAAAAGCCTTAAAAAGGACAGTGACAGAATAGGAATTCAAGATAACGTTCTCTGGATGTGTAAGAAAAATATTTGGAAAGTGAAATAGGTAAGACTTCAGTATTGGTTGTAAGAAATTAAGAAGTTTAAGGTAATGGGAAGGTGGTAATTATTGAAGGAAGTTTTTGAGGTAGTAAGGGTTGGAATGAAGAATATAGGTATAGGGATTGCTCTGGAGTAAGAGCAAAGAGCCCATCTTGTGAAACTAGAAGGAGGTAAAGATGGATATGTGATGTTAACTGTGTTTGTAGGTGAGAATGGAGACGTCAAGGTCATTTTTACCTGCAGTATTTTCTCAGTAAATTCGTTTAGGTCTGTTACACCACTGTTTCTGTCTCCTTTGAGATGATACTAGATACTTCTTGAAAAGGAGGTTCAATTGTTAAGTTTGGAAACTGCAGAGTTAAACAGGTTTCTTTACTGAAAACAGTGGAAATATACTTTGAAGTGCTTATAAACATTGTGAATCTCCAAGAAGGGACTATAAGATGTATTTTTCAAATTTATGTGTCTATGTAACTTTTTTTTTCTAAAAATTTTTCTGTGGTAAAATAACACGTAACAAAGTTGACCATCTTTGTTATTTTTAACTGTGTAATTCAGTTACGTTAATATTGTTGTACAGCCATGGCCACCATCATCTCTACAAGTCTTCATCTTGCAATACTGGAACTATTCCCCCTTCAACCTATCCTCTGGCAACCATCATTTTACTTTCTAGGTCTATGATTTTGACTGCTCTGTCCCCTATAAATGGAATCATTTATATTTGTCTTTTTGTGATGGGTTATTTCACTTAGCATAATGTCCTCAAGGTTCATCCACATTGTCGCATATGTCAGAATTTTCTTCCTTTTTATGGCTGAATAATATTCTTTTGTGTGTGTGTGTATGGCATTTTGTTTATCCTTTCACCCATCGATGGACACTTGGGTTTCTTTCATGTTTTTGCTATAATGAATAATGCTGCCATGAACATGGGTGTACAAGTATCTCTTTGAGACCCTGCTTTCATTTCTTTGGGTATATACCCACAAGTGGGATTGCTGGATCATATGGTAATTCTTTGTTTAATTTTTTGAGGAACCTCCATACTGTTTTCCACAGTGACTGTACCATTTTACATTCCAACCAAGGGTTATAATTTTTCCACATTCTCGTCAGTACTTGTAATTATCTGTTTTTGATAGTTGCCATCCTGATGAAGTGGTTTTTTTAATTATAGCTTTGTGACCATGTAACTTTTTAAGAAATATGTTTTAATAGTATTTTGTGGAATACAGAGTTTGATTAGGGAACTTGAGGATACTATGAAAACTTGGAAAGCGTCTGGGGGGGATGGGTGAAGAAGTAGACCAAATATTATTGAGTCTCATGCTACTGAGTGGCCAGTTGAAGTTAGGAAACTTATCATAGTTGGAGTTTAAAGACTTTTATAGCCAGAAAAGAGGCATGGTATTTCAAGGTTGGGTGTTAGCAGAGCAGATAGGACAAAACTACTAATGGCATGGGCATAGGTTGTTAACACTGAAGTAGTTGAGTTTATATGTCATTGGTGTTGGCCATAATTGGATAGGTTGTGGGGCCAGGTAGAAGTGTTGGGTTGGTTATAAAAGTCTGATAGGTCAAAGAGAGAGTTCAGTGTAAATGAAATTTTTAGAAGGATATAGATGATGATGATGATCAAGGGTTGGGCGTTTAATATGCTTACGGTGGTGATTGGCTGATGTAGAGAGGAAGTGAAGCTTTTTGAAGAAAAGTAAGTATTTTGGGTGAGAGGGGGCTAAAATGTTGGGATAGATCATGAATACAGACGTCGAAGTTGGCTTGCTGGTGATGTAACTGGGGGCAAAATGGAGCCTTTAGTATAATGGGTATAATTTACCAGAAGAGGGGAAACGTATTGAGGTAGATAACATGACTTTCAAAGTGTAAGTTGTATTTGTGTTATGTTTTATTTTGTTTACATGGACATTGTTTTAAATACAAGGTATTAGAAGAGTAATAATGGACTTACGGGTTTTAGTTGTCTATGAAAAAGTTCACAGAAAAGGGATACAAGATAAGTAGTGTCTTTTGGGGTAATCCAGGCTTTAGTGAAAGCTAAGAGGTTGGGGAACCATTATATGAAGCATTTGAAGATTAGGGACAACCTGTATTTTAAATGTTTTTCTAGAGATCTTAGTAGAGTTAGATTAGTGGAACAAATCAATAATAAAGAATAGAGGGGCGCCTGGGTGGCTCAGTCAGTTAAGCGGCTGCCTTCGGCTCAGGTCATGATCCCAGGGTCGTGGGATCGAGCCCCACATCAGGCTCCCTGCTCCACGGGAAGCCTGCTTCTCCCTGTGCCACTCCCCCTGCTTGTGTTCCCTCTCTCGCTGTGTCTCTCTCTGTCAAATAAATAAAATCTTTTAAAAAAAAAATAATAAGAATAGAAAGGGGTAGGTGAAGCTTGGTACTTTGTAGTAAAAATCTAGGATGGCAGCAATGTGAGGCATGATAGGATATTTGTCACAAGATTCCAGATGAAGCTCTGGTATTAAGTTCTGGTTGAGTTCAGCAAACTTACACTGTTTAACTTGACCGTGTTAAGGTAGAATAGCAGGAAATCAGACCTACCACGATGTCTCAATAATGGTGTGTAAGGTTCCAGACATAATCACTGTAATGTAGCTCTAAGTCTTCATGTCTGCCCCCATTTCTCAAATTCCTATACCTTTGGAAACCATACCAGGCAGTAGTTTAGTAAGGTGAATAGGTCAACGTTTGTTCTGCCATAATTTCATGAGTCTTGATTTACAGAATAGATAATGAAGGATTCTTGGTTTTATCTAAGAATTAGCTAGGGTCTTTGATTAATGGCAGCATCTTACATTTATTGAAGTATGATTTTTTGGGGGGCACTTGCAGGCACATTTGCATTTGGCATCTTTTAACTAGGGAACATCTTGGGTGCATTTTAAATGGTAATTATATAAAATTAAAGAATATACCCGTTTGTTTTTAGGAATTCTTAGTGTTATCTGTTCTCTGGGGTGCAGAAAAACATAGTAAACATTTTTAACATTTGCATGCCATTCTATAGTTTAGCCTAGAAATAGAACTAACAAAATAACCCAGATCTTTTTATCCAGTTGTATGTATATTCTCTCTCTATTTTGTTTAAACTTATATATTTGTGGCATCTTTTTGCACATATTAATTTAGACTTTAATTTTTTTAATGATTTCAAAGCAGTTTCTAATAACTTCAGATTTCTCATCTTTTGGTATTTACTCTCCACCCCTATCTTTAATGCTTAGGTTGTTTTCAGGTGTATAACCAAGACAGTAAATGGAACAGGAGTAAACGTATCAAGTGATTTATGGTTCCATATATATCAAAGCTATTTAAATAAATACTTAGTTTTCTCTAAATGTTGGTAGGACCTAAGACCCAGGTCTCAGACCCATCATTATCTGTTCTCTCTAGGTAAGAGCTTTATCAACTCTCATATTTCTATCTCCAATTCCAGTTTACCCTCTGAATTGTAGACTCATCTATCCAATAATTGAATGTCTGATTCTCAAACTTAAGTCCAAAATAGTTCTTGATTTTCATCCTCTCAAATCTACTTGTCTTGTTATCTTTTTGCTATCTCAGTTGGTTAGCAATTCTTTTTTTTCTTCCAGTTCATCTAAAACTTTGGAAGCATCTTTGATTTCTGTTTGTCTCACTCAGATTATCAGCAAATCATGTTGGCTCCACCTTTAAAATATCATAATTCAACCACTTGTCTTTTTACACCATTTCTACCTCTATCACTCTTGATTAAAGCCATCGTCTTTTTTTTTTTTCCCTAAGATTTTATTTATTTATTTGAGAGAGAGAGAATGAGAGACAGAGAGCATGAGAGGGAGGAGGGTCAGAGGGAGAAGCAGACTCCCTGCTGAGCAGGGAGCCCGATGCGGGACTTGATCCTGGGACTCCAGGATCATGACCTGAGCTGAAGGCAGTCGCTTAACCAACTGAGCCACCCAGGCGCCCAAAGCCATCGTCTTTTGCCAAAAGAAT